TAAAGAAGAAACAAACAACTACGAGTAAAAGTAACATGGGTCCATAGTGGCAAACCGGCGACTTGGTTGGGCGTGCTTTTGGTGGAGTCGAATGAGCTCCGGCCATTAAACAACCGGTTCACTGTTGCATGATATGTAATATATATATATATATATAAACACGCATATGTACATATGTATATGTGTATATGTGTATACATGTGTGTATTATACACATATGTATACATATGGTATGAACATTCTATGTGTTGCTTGAAGAGAGGCGATAGAAACAAAGCCCTTTAGGGTTCCCTATTTTGGCGCATGCCCACATGAAATATGGACTTGTCTCGAAAAGGTGACACCTGCTTGGATGGTGTTCAATGGACCCTTGACGCAAACAACCATTCTTTGGGGACACTTTTTTGGGAAAACTCTCTTTTTGTGGAATTTGACACCCCCGAATAGTTGAGTTTCAGCAGGTTTCCCTTCATAACGAACGAACAGGGGATCCGTGTGTGTGTGTGTGTGTGTGTTTGTGTGTTTGTGTGTTTGTGTGTGTTTGTGTGTGTGTTTGTGTGTGTGTGTGTGTGTGTGTGTGTGTGTGTGTGTGTGTGTGTGTGTGTGTGTGTGTGTGTGTGTGTGTGTGTGTGTGTGTGTGTGTGTGTGTGTGTGTGTGTGTGTGTGTCTGTGTGTTTGCTTTTGTGTTTGTGTCCGTGTCTCTCTGTGTGTGTGTGTGTGTCTCTGTGTCTTGTGTGCATATGTGCCTTGGTTGTCAAGGTTCGGTACCCTTCTTGGGGTTGGTTTCAAGCGAAACCAGAAGGAAACCCGAAGCCAGGTTTCGGGCTCAGTTTTGGGAATGAACTTAGAAATCCCTGAAGGGCAGCTCACAGGGGTCATTCGCCCAGTATGTCCAAAAACTAACCAAAACCAGTTAAGTTTGTAGGGTTCCCCATCTCAGGAACAATCCTCAACAAATACTTCTCACCAACAGGAGGAGGCGGGGGTTCGCTAACTCCAGCTTGTCACATTTGAACCACTCACTTGGAGCCAAAAGAGAGAAGGAGAGAGAGAGAGACAAAAAACAAAAACAAAAGAGAGACAGAGGACCCCCCCCCCAAACAAAACAACAACAATAAAAGATTTGAAGGCACCCTGCCATCAAAGGGACGGCCGCTTGCTTCGAATCGGGCCCCCGGCTGCGCCGTGTCTAGCCAGGCCTTTGTGTTGGACCCTGGCCAAGCGAAGGAACATCCCAAAGGGCTGCGGGTCAAGAGGGACTTGGGACGCTCGTCTCATCACCCGGCAAAGCGCCAAGTGGATCGTGACCCCAGGGGGTGCCATAATATGGAAGTTCGCTTGGTCTCGAGAACTCGTGGATACTCGAATAACAAACAGGTACCTCAGCGGCAACCCACCCAAACACACCAAGGAAAGTGGAGAGTACAAAGAGACGACCATCAAACCCTGAGATCCGGGTCAAGCCGGTTCGACTAAGAGTTTCAAAGACCCCTTGAGACAGGTGTTGAACATCCAGGGAAAGCAGCCGCGCGACTCTGGTTGCTGCTGTGCGTCACCCCCCTGTTCGGGGTTTGAGGGAAGCCAGACGCGAGATGAGTGCTATGGGCCACAGGGAACGCCCAAAAATGGACCGCTAAGAAAGACTCTTACATTTCGAGGGGGGGTCTGTGGCTGAGGACCTCGAGTTTTGATTTGCGGCCCGGATCCACGAGCTCTAAAGGTGTCAGTGACATGTCGAAACCGTGGCTCTGATTCACCACAGACTCAGAAACGGTGGTTGATTCAACGAACACTGAAGTTGAGTCGGATTCAGACTCTGATCCCGCAAGCAGACTCAGGGGTCATTGCTTGGGTTTATCTAGATTAATCAACTAATGGGGGTGTGTCCCATGAATCTACCACTTGGGAACTTTGAGATTCCAGAAAATCCCAAACTCACAAAGATTTTATTGGGTGGATTACGGGTGTGTTTTCCTTTTGGCCTCCTTTCCACAAGTTTGGCCGACTTTTGTTCCAGGCTGTTTGGAGCCAGGTTGGCTTCCGCTGTGACTCTCATCATCTCCGGCGACGGTTCGAGTTCCTGTTCGCCCTGAGTCAAGGAACCCCATGCACCCAAAAGAATTGGGTAGCCCGGTAGACCGGACATCCCCTCAATGGCATAAATTGACCAACAGGTCCCGAGTCCCAAAAGGGATGCTTTGCGGAGCCTGGGGTAAAGCCCTCCGCAGCAAAGTAGGTGTACCTCGGGCGAAGGCTGAGCCAAAACCGGGTAGCCACAAAAACAAACACTCTGATTTAGGTTGTTTTCAAAGGTCCTGCCGGTGCCACTTGGTCAGACCAAAGCCAGCCATGTGAGGGTGCCGTTTTTTTGAGGGTATCCTCCTTTTGATGGTTCTAAAGGGAAACCAAAAGGGACACCCCCATTTAGGGGGGTGTCCAACAAGGAAGGGGAGATCGCGAAGAAAAGACACACCCGTATATGTGTCTGGCAGTATCTGGTTTGCAGGGACCATCCGTGTAAAACCTGTAAAAAAGCGGCAACCGACTCATTCGTCGAAGCGAGCTGCGCTCCATCGAAGCCGCCCTGCTGCAGGAACCGGAGGTCCTCCCGACCTCCGTGGCTGCCGATCCAGAGGCACCTGAGAACGCCGCGCCGAGGTCAAACGCGTAGGAAAGCCCTGGAGTCTACATGACCCGTTAAACATGGGATCACTACCCAACGCCATGTCCCCACGTTAAAGGGTCATGGAGACTCCAGGTACTCGCTCGGGGGTACCCGCTGTGGTTGAAAGCCGTAAGCATCCTCTCTCAAATTGTTGGAGGTCCACAACCAAACCGGACCGGTCCCTAAAACCCAAACCAAATGGGAGGGTGTCTGATGAAAACCCGATTTGGGGGTTGCAAATCCTATGGGACAGACCCAAAGGGCCTCTGGGATAGGTTCTTTGCCAGGGCCAACCCACCTTAGGACCTTCCAAAACGAACAACAGGGCTCTCTGTTCTTCCCCTTTTGACATCAATGGTAAAATATAAAGAATCCTGAACCATCGTGCACCAATCATTGTGTCAGTTGCGCGGCAGCGACCTGTGCAAGCATGATAGACCAACGCGACGCATGTGAACCCCTCAGCCCAGCTACTGACTTTGCGTCAAAGCCAACGTGGGAAAATGCGAGCCGAGGTTTTATAAAACAAGCTGGCACTGTTAACGATCAGAACCGACCAGTGCCATCAGTGCTTAACCGCGCTGGCCTAACATTGCGATCTATGCTAGAAAGTGGTGTGCAAACGCGTTGGAGAACACATACGTCAAAGTCGCAGTGGCCAGTTGATGTTGACCAAGCATTCGAGCATAGAGCACCAAGTGGTTGCTGCATCCACTTTGTTGGCTGAAAGTAGCTGTCGTCAACAACCAAAGCTGTCCCTAAGCAAGCAACGACGATGATGGTCTCAATCATGAAAATTCGTCATGAGGATGATAGCGACGACAACCACGGCGACAAAAACGCCGCCACCGCCCCTGCCGTCGCTGCTACTACTGCTGCCGAGGATGGTGATAGAGATGCTGCTCACGCTGTTGCTGGCAGTGCGATCAATCCACGAGCAAACGATCTCGGAAAAGACGCCGCCGACTTCTGCCCCTGCCAACCGCCATTTTTCCACGCATGCTATCTGTTTGGCTCAAGCCGCAGTGTGAAAAACAAGCCAGCGGATTTGTACAGTGAAAATGCCCGAGATTCTGAGCCTGGATCGCTACAAATCACCAAACCATATTTGACAGCCAAAAAAAAGTGTGCCCGAAAAGTGTGCTCACAAACAAGCAAAAAAACAAACTGCCGTTTTTTTGTTTTTTTTTTCCGTCTCTGTTGAAACCCGGGCCTCTTCCTTCCGAGACTTGCAGGGTAGAGGTCACCTCTTGCCAGTCTCAGCTTCGCTTCCCGAGGAACTCTAGCCAAGGAATCAGGCGAAAACAGCAGAAGAACCTCCTCGTATGATAATATGACGATGTCTTGAAGGGACTGACAGACCTATACATGTAGACGCACATCGTGCTTCACCATTTCTGGCGCTCGCATGGTTGGATATTGACATAATTGAACATTGATCAAACAAAATCAGATGGTCAGAGTCAGCTCCACTTCTGAAATGCCATTTTTTGCATGAAACATTAGGCATTGGGAAAGCCGAAACTCGGCCAATGGCAGCTGTCAAAGAAGTTGCAATGTCCGCAGGCTCACCAGGCTATTCAAAGCGAAACATCTTGCAACCTGCAAAACTGATAGAAAACCACAAAGAAGCTGATACATCTGCCCCCCCAGTATGTGTTTTTTCGGGCCCCCGTTTTTAGTTGGTTTGCCAGGGAACCAAGCGGAAACCAACCACTCTATTCTTTTTTGTTTGTTTGATTTTTTTTTTGGGGGGGGGGGCAAATCCTCCTTTTGAGGCGGCCGCGTTTAGCTTCTCATTAGACCACCCCACACATACCCTCAAAATGGACACATATATATATATATATATATTATGTGTGTTTTGTTCATTGCTTTTGGCCGGTCAGACCTCTACCCAAAAGCGCGCCCACGCCATATTTCAGCGCAGGGGCGGTCAGTGAAACTTCGCACGTTGGCGTCCAAGCGGCAAAGACTTGTAACAGGAGATATGCGTACCAAGCCATTCTAACTCCAAGAATGCGGATGCGTCTCGCGCAAATCAACATGGGAAAATACCAAATAACCGAAGTCTCCTGTTGGGGGACCCTTGTGCTCTGCAAATGTGGAGGGAAGCAAGCATACCCCTAGTGGGACAAGAAGGGCACTTTGTTTAGTACCACCACCACTCCGCAAAAAACAACAACATAACTTTGGAGCACTACTCCATGTTAAAGTTTTTTGAGGGTCGGAGTCCAGGTAATTAGTTGATTTGAAGAGGGGCTACCCCCAGACAAGAAAGACCAAGGAAGCGGACCACTGGATGTCTAGCAAACATTCGCCGCTGGGCACTCTCCTAGAAGCAAGCCAGCGCAGGAAAAGGCCTCATGCCGATTTGCAATCGATTTGACCCGAAGCTTTGACTTGTCCCGACCCCTTTCTACATGACGAGAATGGACGTGGCTCAATCGGAGACAAAAAACGGAACCCTGGTAAATGGAAAGAACATGCGGTCCGCCGGCCTTAGAATCTTGAGCCAGGACCAAATGAGCCGCAAGCAAAACCTGGCAATTAGTAAAGGGGTCAACCCCAAACCATGTGAAGAATCGGGCCGCACAGTGTTTATGCCTGGGATTGTCTGTTAGTAACCTACACGTACGCAGTCGAATCTCTAGGAAGGTCGCGTTTGGGGAAGCGAACCAGAAGGGGCCCTGGACATGGGATGGAAGAGCCCCGGTTCAAGGTACTCAAGAGCTGGCTTCAGAATGCCACACAGAAAATTCCTTTGCAGGCCACACTCTACTCCCCAGCAAAGGTTCCTAGAACCTTCTTAAAAAACGGCTCTGGTTGAAGGCTTCTTACAACCTTGCGGCACTATTGCCAGCTTCCCGAGCTCATAAAGGACATATCGGAAGAGGGCACAGCCCCTACACAAAAGACATGGTGAACATATTAACATATGAGCATGTTGTTCAAAGTATCAGCTTCCACTACTTGGTGCTTTGGATAGCTGGTTTTGGGGGAGAATCCCAAACCACCAACTAGTGGTTACCTAAATAGTTTCCCACAAATTCGCATCTCAAAATTCCAGGTCGAGACAGCTTTGCGAATATTTGGACTGGGATTGGCAATGAGACACGCCTGGCCTCCATGAGGCCCTAACAAACAAATCCGCAGTTGCCTGAACACGGTGCACACATAAAAAGGAACAAATCACCGACTTGCCAACCCCGAAACAACAAAGGCAGCAAGCAAGAAAGCAAGCAAGCCCAAAACAAACAGAGAAGCAAACAGCAACAAAAAGCAACCACAGCAAGCAAAACGACAGCTAAACAATTTCATAGCCCTCGCCCTGAGGACCTGGGTCCCCGCGTGCGTCCGAAGCCGCCAGCCATGGGCACAGCCTAGCGAAGGAAGAAACAATGAACCGGATGTGCCAAACGGAAAGCTGAGCCGCGCCCTTTTTTGGGGTCGCCCGATTTTAACACCTGGCGGTCTCCTGGTGGTTTCACCTTGTAACCATCAACTTTCAAGGGTACGGTACCCTCAACAAAAGGATGCACCCAGATTCCTGAACCCTCAAACTACCCCAAAAAGGGAATTCACGGACCATAGTTTTGGGGCAATAATCATGTTTTGAGGGCACATTCGAGCTTGCCATTGGAGCGTACTTGAGCAAATTGATATTGTACAACCCAGTGCTTCCGCTTACCATTGTCGTGGAAACAACCATGCAAGACCATTCCCCCTGGTGGATTCATACGCCGGTGTTCCCTAACAGCACGGGTTCTACTTAGATCCGGGGTCAACATTTTACAGGCAACTGGAAGTAGCCGGGGGGTGGGGGGTCTCAATAACGCACAGGATAATCCCATGAGGTAGTTAATTTGGTGCACCCCGCAACCCACATTCCAACTCTTAGACGCTGATAGAGCTTGTTCCCCCAAAACGACCTGCGACAAGTGGGTCTTCACCCTCGGTTTTGGCGGTGTTTGGGCGGCCCTCAAAGTTCTCGTCCGCCCCAAACTACAATAGACCGCCAATGGGCTCATGTCTAGCCCAAACCGGTGAGCTCCTTGTAGCTTGCGCAAAGGGTTTGCAAGTAGATCACAAGACGTTACATGTGGGGGGGGGGGGGGGTTACTGCAACATGCTGCAATGTAAATTTAATGGTGTACTATAAGTTACACTCCTGCAGATTTGCCGGCAACCCCAAAACCATTTTCAGAGGGATGTCCTTGGAGATCCTGTTCGGGTTTCGATGTTCGTTTGGGGATTCGGACTATCGGACTGGCTATCCCCCCATTCAGCAATTCGTACCGTTTGGATGCAGATCAAATCCTCCGGTAATCAAATTCAACTATCTGCAATTCATGGTTGCCAGCTTGACTGAAATCGACAAACAAGTGTTTTGTCAAACATTGGGCTGCACTTTGAAGAACGCACCAAAACATGACAGTCGTTGGGTGATTCTCTGCAAATTATTTACAGGTAAGGATCCAGCATCATGTTCGAGTTCTTTTACCCATGTGAGCTTGTTGTATTCAGCTTGCAAGTTGACCCCTTGAGAAAGTCCTGGAACCTCCCTTTAGTTTGCAAGTTTTCCAGGGAGAAACAGATGAACATGTTCAAAAGGGCGGCCAAACGACCGTGGTCCAAAAGCGGCTTTACGGCTTTCCCCAAAATTTAAATCACCATTTCAATCCGGTTCCAACTTCAAACTCGCCACGTGCGAGACCAACCGTCCGCAAGCGGACCTGCTGAAACAGCTGGAAGTAGAGCCGTGCCGCGCAGGGCCCCAAACCGCCGCCGGCCTATGGTGGGGGACGGGGGGTTTTGGTTTTGCTTGCCAAACCAGAACCCAAGACTCTAAACAAGGAGGTCGCAACATAGGCCCTGCGTGTCAATCCTATGTGATGAGAAGGTGTCTCAAACTAGGTCTCGCAAACAAATGGCATTGATTGCGATGATCTTTATAGGTAGCCAAGGGAACAGCCCTCTACTTACTTCCCGAGTTGATTTGCAGAGGAAAATCTACACTTTGTTTCCACCAAAATGCTGGTCCCAAAAAGTAACAAGTCCAGAAGCTCAGGAAGTGAGTCTAAAGGGAAACTGTTGTGTTCCCCCCCTTCAGCTGTATCTCTGGGGCTGGGCACTTGTGGGTTGGGGATGCGAGTTCTAACGTACGAAATTGTTGGAGCCTCAGAGTCCAGTTGAGAAAAGCCAAGGGGTGAGGGAAGGGTGTTTTCAAATATGTCAAGAACTCTTTGGTTTGTGGACTTGAGAGAAGCAGTGCAAAGGGGGGCACGCGTAATCCACCCATGGTGGTTACTTCACAACGTTGTCCCCACTTCGAGCGGATTCTTGTTGAGTGTGGCTCCCTTGCTCGGAAGATCCTTCAACATGAAAGCCACAGGGCCCCTTCAAGAAAACAAAGTGAAGGCCAAGGACCCCAGCATTTCATGGGAGGGCTACATCCGTTTGAGCCCACCCCCAGAGACACATCCCCAAATGGGGCCAAAAAGAATCAGGGTCTCTCTGGGTCATTTTTTCCCCCGAACAACACCGGCGGGTAAATAGGGACTCTCTTAATCTTGCATAAATAACCATCTTCTCTGGCTTCCCTTTGGAAACAAATGGGTGTTTCTGAGAACAGGACTCGGTGCTTTTGGCATTTAAACCCTCGCCACAGGGGAAGCGATGTCTGCTCAGATGCCCAGTGGCCGTGGGAAAAAAACATGGGGCACCCTTCTTTTGTTGGGTGAGTTGAAAGGGGAACCCGTACCCAAAAAAGAGTTGAAAGAAGGGCAGCACTGGGCCATGTTTTTTTTGAGACGCCTGCCCAAAGCATCTCGGGCCCCAAGCCCCTGAGAGGCTGAAGAGCGCCCCCTGCAGCTGCGACAGCTCCTAACAAAGCAACTGGGGGTGCGAAAGGCGGGGGAGCTCTGAAGCATCGGAAAGGACCCTCCGTTGGTTTGGGGGTGTTGGAGACCTCCATTATTTGTTTTGGTGGTGAACCTCAGCAGAGTTCCTTAGGGAATGTGTTGCTTTCTTTTGGAAACTCACAGGTACATATGCTATTCAGCAAGGGTCCAAGTAAGGAGATACTCTAACCCCTCTAAAGCGCTAGCCTCAAAGAGTGCCATTAAAGATCCGTTGGAAAGGTTTCTCGAGCCTCTCCGTTTTGTCCCAGGAGGCCCTTTTTGACCCCAGGCAGACCTCATCCATTGTCCATTGGCTGTTCATCAACCCCCATTTCCTAATGTCAGTTCTGTGAGAGTATCCAATGTCATCCCCTTTGCTGACAGATCACATTCACATTGGCCATCTGGGTACGGTACTCAGAAAATGCTATGCTAACAGAAACTTGGGTATGTTCAAGGGCTCTACCTCAATTTGCTGAGAAGTCCGGGGCAAAAAATACATATTTCCAGCAGGGATAGATCCCTTTGAAATCAGCAGCGGGAAATCAAACATTCTCAGTTCAGCAAATGGACGTCTACAGTTGATTTGGGGTTCTCCAGCGGAGGGCCGCTATGTCTGCATTGGAGTCCTAACCGAGGGTGCAGTTCAGTGATTCACCGACGACAAGTAGGTCCCGGATCAAACCCAATTAACCAAGCCCAACCCATCCCATCCAACAAATTCAGACGTTGAGATGACCCCAAGACACCGTTTGATACCCTGATCAGTTTGGATTGGTGGAATCCTTGGAGCTGAAGGACAAGGATTCCGATCCAAAACCGAAGGCCTAGACCCCCAAATCATGGGGAAAAGGCGCAGACTTGTTTTAGAAAACAAAAGGGGCCCCAGAAGTGTTGGTCGTCTTGGAAGGGGCTCTCTCCAAAAAGAGTTGAAGAAAGGAAGTAAATCTTTGACATGAGTTCTGGGCATGCGTTTCGCCCTGGTTAAACCCCCGAGCCCGGAAGCCTCTCCATGACCCCATACCAACCTTTTCTCCGGGGACCAATCCGACTCATTCCGATTGGACCGCTCCTCTTGCAGCATGCCATCGCCTTTCACGCGCACCAGGCTTTCCAGCCTCAACTCGAAGCCCGAAGCCGCCGGAACCCAACACAAAAGGGATGTTCAAAAGTGGCTGCCAGGGGATCCAAATGACCCTTGGCATCATGCTTTGCTCCCAACGGGTGAATCAGAAAAATAGCCAGCAAACGCTCGCCTTTCCGGTTTCCTCTTGCAAGGGGCTTTCGGTGTGGGCTTGTAAGAAGACATTGCTGCTTTCCCGGTCTTTTTTCAACAATGACTTTAGAGCAAAATCACTTCAATGGCAACTACCATCATGGTATAGTCATGTATGTGCTTGTGGAACGGGACATCTGGGCTCATGTTTTGTGCTACTGTGGATGAACGAAGTCTTGCACCACCTAAGAAACCCTGGAATGATGATTCCCCTGTGAATACCAACAAACGTTACGGTTCAACCATGGTTTCAAAGTGCTACTCTACGAACTAGATTTCGCAACCATCCATAGTATCATGGCATTCTTGTGATCCTTCAGGGATTACGGATTGAGAGTCCAAACACATGGGTCTTCTAGAGGCTTCAAGTACCCGCGCCGTGAGCTATACTTTCGGTCTTCTCCTTGCATGTTACCGTTTTGCCATTTTTACGGTTTTGCGGTTTTGCCGTTGCGGAATCCGTGGGGAGGACCCACTACTATCGACCCCACCTAACCAGCTCAGTGTGCTTGAACCTGTTTGCTCCGCCCCGTATTTCGGCAAGCTGAGAAACCCCAGGCGGAAATCCCGGTTCCACTTCGTTTAGTTCATTTTCGCACTTCCGCATCGGTGAGCGGCCCAGATGGTATTTGCTTATTCATGCAAATGACAGCAAGTATGGGGTTGCCTGAAAATAGGGGAAGCCCCAAAATGGTGATTGTTCCACGTGTTACCGAGAACAAAACCCTAAAGGGGTTAGCCGGTAGCCAAAAAAGACAAGCCACCCACAAAACAGTGTTTCTCTAAATCGGGGCGCTCTATAGCTGGCGGGCTTCCCTTAGGACCCAACACATGCGCCGTTCCCCTCTGGTTTTCCTTTGAACCAACCTCAAAAAGGGCACCCCCAAGAAAGACACAACCTTGACAACAGTGTTTCTACAAAAACACAATCACACGGCACTACACACCAAAACAAGCATTCCGTTTGCGCGTACCCTCAAAATGGGCGGGAAGCCCCCTTTGCTTTGCTTACAACCAACCCCCGAAACGTGCGCCTGACCAAAAGCGCAAAAAAGTCCGGTGAAAAGGCACCGCTCCAAGCGGCCATGGACAGGCCTCCGCAGCGCCAGGACCTTGAGAAGGTTGGGGTTGGGAGGGGTTGGGGTGGGTCGGGAGGGGCGGGGCTCGGAGGGAGTTGAGGAGGGGGGTTGGAGAACTTCAATAGCAATATTTACATGAGAGCCCCTACTTGCTTGGCGGTCGAAGAAGCCAAAGAGAAAACAAACAGCCGGACCCAAAATGCTAGGTCCATGAATTTGACATTCTCCAACTTATCTTCGTGGTGGCTTGCAGGCAACCAAGCCCAAAAAGCAATTCTCAGAATCCCTCAAGAAATACCTTTAAGTCTCTCAGTTCGGTTCCATAGCAATGTGTGCCGTGCCAATGTAAATGGAAAAAGGGGCAGCAGCTTCTCGGGCAAAGAGCGATTTAGGGTGCTTGTTGCCAAATGAGGAAGTGGTACCCCTGTTCCCCAGCTACAAGGGTAGCTTCTACTCGGCACTTTGGACAAGTAGTGTTCATCAACATGGAAACACCACTAGCCACGAGGACTCAGTGGAACCGTTGCAGTAGCCTGCCTCGATCCTCACTCGCGTGCAACATCAAAGGATGGTGTCCAACAAACGATTGCTTTCATGAACCACATCCACTTGTGATCACTTTTCTGTAAGTATCCGACAATATTGCCGACAAATGCCGTCAGGGACCTTCAATTGAAAATGTCCGGATAGCACTGGAAGCTAGGACAACCATGAGGCAGCTATGTTCAACCCAGGAAAGGGGGTCGCCTTGTTTCTGGAGTTCCCCTTCTTCTTGAACAGGGGAAAAAACATAGCCTATCATTTGGGATCGTGAAGAGTCCCTTTGTCAGAAGCGTAAGCAAATAAACGGCTTGACAGTGGAACCAACAGAAAACCTGCAAATACCACGATTGCCAATGAGGTGCTTAACTACATACAGACAATATACTTGTTGAAGGCTATGAAATAGCAAACAAACACGTAACCTGCATGCGCTATGAATTAAGAGTTTTGTAACCTTATGCTGCAAAAGCGTTGACATGGCCTGGGCACAAAGTGCACGCCGATATACTTCGCCTTATGCATATCACGGCTCATGTGCGTTCACTGCGTTTTAAGGTTTTGGCTAGATCATCAGGGCTGTGAGGCTAGGCCCTTCCCTCCTCAAGATGGTTTGCGCCCGGACCCTCAAATACCCTTAAAAGTAGGTCAACGCCCTAAACATATTGGGTGGCATCCCTTTTGTGAAAGGTAGATTGAAGGTCCAGGTCGCTTTGGGCAAAGCAGCTCGCCGAGCATTTTGCTCTTCGACACTTTTGGTCTCGCGTCGCAAGATAAACAGTGCGGCACCGTGATTTGGTGCTGGAACGAAATCTGCGTCTCAGGCGAGGCTCAAAATCCGGGAACCCCAACATCCGAAGACACGGGACATGGGGGAGAGTTTGCTTTGAGGGTATTATTCTGGGGTTTGGTTCGGGAAAGGAACACCGAACATGGGCTTCTGGGTGTCCAAAACACCACCAACTCAGTCCATGCGAGCTTGGGAATTGCTTAGGGAACCCCTCAGAAATGCTCTCAGGTCAAGTTCATCTGCAGTTTGGGCAACGGACACCCACTTGTCAACACGGCCCCCAAGTTTGAATGGTGGCAACATCCCTGTGCTCGATTCTGCCTACCTGGATCCCCAAACTATCCTTGAAACCGGGTTATTGCGCCCAAACTATGGGGTGCTCATGCCTTTTTATGCATATAGGTTCAGGGTCCGGTGGACAGGGTCATGGTGGCGCCCTCAGGAACCCTTTCCATGGTCTAAATCCCTCAAGGGTCCACGGCCATCTCTAGAAACCTCAAGAAAAAGGGTCTTTCCGTGGCACATCTTCGGGCATAGACCTGCGACGTGCTGCATTATGAAAGGGCTGCGTCAAAACTAAACCACCAGGATACGGGACCGTGGGCTTTAGTCCTTTCCATTCGCCAGGGCAAGCCATGTGGTTACCCCACTTTTGCAAACCTGGAAATCTTGGCTTGAAGGGAACACCTGGGATTCAACCCGATTTTCAGCCACCGTTGGGCCGCTCAAGGCAAAGAAGCGGGGAGAGTCGACACGGGCGTAGCACCAAGTCTTCCCTTGTGGAACAGGCTTTGGCTTTCGGCAAAGCTTCAAGCTTTAACGACGCGTGAGTAGTTGATGCTTGTCGTCAGAATCCACAGCTTTCCTGCTTGCCACAAACGCATGCAGTCAATCCAACCAACATACTAAGAATGTCAACTCGGCCGGAACCCAACATGGTCCAACATTTCCTTCCGGTCTTGCTCCCAAAACCGTGTAACAAAATGAGGGCTTGGCAAATGCGAGAACAAAGGCAACTACCCATCCCAAAGACTCAATACATGGAGTATTTATCCACATTTACACTCATGACTCGCATGTGGGCTTGCAGCATACATCATCATGGGTTGTGCGAGCACGGGTTATTCATTGTTTTATGATCCCTTTTATATACTCTATGTATATAAATATCTATGTACTGTATATATATAAATACGACAACAATAAGAACAACAATCATAATAGTAATAATAATAGTAATAATAATAATGATGATAATCATACTAATGATAATTATATATATATATGTGTAATGTGTCCCACTGTTGTCCGTGAATTTCTCCTGGCGCTTCGCGGAATCGAATCCCCCCGCTTCACAACCAACCCAGCAGATCCTGGGGGCACTCGCCGCCGTGGTCCTTGTGGCCCCAGGTGACCACTGAGCCATCCTCCGGACATCGCGGATCGTTATGGGCGGCTTGGCGTTAACGTTGGAACCCCCCAGGTCTCAGGTTGGCTTTCCGGTGGGTTTCCCTTTAACTCAACAAAAAAGGGAGTATCCTTGAAACAAGGCAGTCCCAAATGGGTTATTTCAACCCAGCATTATGTTTGGCGAACTCCCTTTAGGGTAGTTTGAGGGTCTAGGCGGGTATCTGAATGAGCTTGTCTCAAAGGAGGAACCTTTTAAAAGGGGCTTCGGTTTCCTTTTTGGCCTCAGCTACTTGAAGGAGCAAGTCAGGAACCTTCTGCTTACCAAGCGGACTTGTAAGCCAGGTTAGGAAGTTACAGGGTTTACCATACGCATCCTTCACACAAACCGAACCCCCTCCCTAGTTCAGCCCTAGGAACAGTCACAGCAAACCATTTTAGCTTGGGGTTCACCACTTTTATAGGAGCCACAAACAGGCTATCAAAGGGACTTGGATCCCCAAAATGGTACGGCTCCTTTTGGTGTTCCCCACATAATTGACATTGGGTACCCTTCCCCTCAACAAAAACACACACAAAAAGAAGACTTGCGTTCCATCCCCCTTCGCCGCAACACAAGCACGTACAGTGCATACACACAAATCGGTGTGCGTATCTCCGAGGGTCCTTCAAGACGGCGGCAAAGGCGCCGTCGTTGGCTTGGACGTTGGTCACTTTTTCCTTCAGCTGATCTTGGACCTTGCTGCTGTCGCCTCCATAGAGCTTGTGGCCCCAGGTCACCACAGAGCCGTTGTCCTTCGGATTTTTAGCGGGGGGCCGGGAAAGATTTGGAGGTATGAAGTTCATTCTCAAAGTCAGTGGGGGGATTTCGGTGCACCTGACTTTGAGTTTCCCAACTCAAGCCAGCTGTGAGAGAGCGCCCGGTTCTCAGGTGGCAAAGGGCAACCAAAAGACTTGGAGCTGGTGTTGGTTGCTGCAGGCTAGTTGTTAACCTAAACTAAACGAACCATGTTGGGTTTTGTCTCGCAGATTTCAAAGTGTTCGAAGCGGTAGTCACACGGAGACAGCAGGTCAGTCATACCCAACGCCTCTGGTGATGGAGTCCACATTGGTGGTAACCCCCTGCTTAGCTGGCTCCATTTTACTACCCCAAAGGATTCACATTTCCCGGCATTCATAAAGCCAACCACGTGAAAACCTCTGCTGGAGCAACCAATTTGTGGACCGCCTTTGGTATGTTTTGTTTGCCATGGCAGGAGACACCCCAGCAGGGTTAGTGGCTTGTCACCCCCCACTCCGCCATGCGAAGCCCTGAAGCTCCGCCCTCCAAAGACAAAGGGCTGCAGAATGAAGGCAAACGGAAGGGATACCAAAGGTTCAAAAACTTCTGCTGAAACCCTGGCTCAACATCTTGCAACCCTCCCCAGGGTCCCAGTAGAAAAATACATCCAAACATTCCCTTGCTGCCACTGGTAAAGGTCACAGATTGGTCAAGCAACAAGAAAACAAACAAATGGAGGTGTCTTCTTTCAACATGTCACCCTTCCCCCCCCCACAAGCACCAAGGTTTGGTTGGGTAATCTGACTAGGTCGGGTCGTTAACCACCGGGTTGGGTAAATCCTTACCTCCTTAATCACTTACTAGCTTGGGTCGTCAACTACGTATTATAGGGTATATCCTTAATCATTTGCAGCAAGGGTTGCCAACCATTTAGTTCGAGGGGTGACCCTCAGGGAACAAAATTGTCTTCCTGGACCCTCAAAATACGCTTAACATGATTAAACATGTGTTAAGCCCAAATCGCCCAAATTATGGGGTGAAAACCCGTTTTTTATGGGTTGTTTGACGGTCCAAGTACCAAAGTCCCCTTTCTTTGTCACCACCTACCAGCCCAAGTCGTTATCCACTTGGGGCCTTAGGGTAAATGCTTCATCACCGAGACAGCTCTTAACCATGCCGCTCTCCAGTTGCTGCTGGGTTCTTCACCTCTTTCCTCCTTTGCGTCTAGCCCTTCCCCACCCACCCCCCAGAGCCATCCTTGAGGGCGGCAAAGGCGCCCTGACTCCCGCGGATCTGTCGGATCCTCAGATTGGGTTTTACTCACTTTCTGAGTGGGTCTTCCCACAAAGTACAAAGCCCAGGAACTCAGGAAGGGAGCTTTTTGACCCAAGGGGGGAATATGGGTCTGTCCCTTGCGACTCTTAAAAATTCAGTCGGGAAAAAAGGAAGCGACCGACACGATTCAGGCGATTCGGTCACACCAAAGCACCAACCACTTTTGAGCTGGACTCGAAC